TTACGTCGACAAGAAACACGCCGGCATAATATTCCCTCAACCAATATCTCCTTGACCCGCATTTCTGCCACATCTGGCACATAGTTTTACGCGTGTCATTATCATAAACGATTTTGAATTTAGCGGTCCATTCTCATACTCATCCTATATACTTGAATACCTGTATACCTGTTGGAGTAAAACAGTTTTGGCATATAATTCGTCGGTGTCAGTACTTGAAACCGTAAAGAATATTCGGCAACGAACTATAGACACTACTTAATTAAAATTTAACTTTAATGTATTTTAATTCAATTCGCGGTATCGTATAGTAATTATGTCGTCCTATGCAAAACATAATGGATGTAACTCGGGAATTTACTAATTGCACGGGAAGAATTAATACGGTGGTTGATTATATCTTGTGTTTCATTAAAATGTTCAGAAGTGTGCAATCGTCGATAAACAGAGTTTGGTCGAAATTACGATAAGTAGGTTTTACTTTGTATGTAAGTACATCCAAAAATCAAACAAAAAAAAAAACATTCAAATTTAAATTCAAATGTCGCAAAGTGACAAACTTGTGCATGCGAATTTCTCATTGGAATTATAATACATTTGTCTACGAATGAGATTACAATATGGCGTACAAATATAAGTCATTTAAAAATATCTAGATAAAGATGAAGTATACGTTTTCGGTTGGCTATCTAAATGAAGACGAAATATGAACATAACGAGTTTAGCTATCTAGATGAATCTAACAATATTTGTATAATCTAGGTAAAAAAAAAAAAAAAACACAGATAATTTCTTTTAATATATAACTATGTAGTATTACGAAAGGCTTATTGTTTACCAGATACGGTACACACAAATATTTCACAAATTTATTGTTCTACATATTATATTTTTAATAAAATATATAGGTATATTAATTACGATTTAAAAAGATCGATATAAATACATTTATTTGGATAAGATAAAAAAGAGTCACGTTTAGATCAAAGGCTCTAAAAAAAAAAAAAAAAAAAAAATCGTCAATTGTTTAAATGATGATTATTATGACGATAAAACAGAATATTGCGATATTTGTATTATTATTATTTTTTTTTTTTTTTTAACGTTCGATCCCAATTTGCTATACATGTGTACAAAAACTATATGAATTTAAAAATGTTCGAACGCAGTTTTTTGTTGTTATAATGTTTAATTGAAAACACAAACAAAAATATTATCGATTTATATTGTCTAAAGAATTAGAAAAATAAATGTTTATTTTATCCTCGAAATAATAATATTTTGTACGTTTCCTTTAATAAACTATAAATGTATATACACAAAAGATGTATATATTTTTTTTTATTTTTTTTGTTTCCGCCGGTGTATTTTGTTATTGAATACAAAAAACTACAAGGTACATTATAATATCTATATAATATAGTTAGGTGCCGTATAACTGCAGGGTAAAAGTGAAAAAAATAATAATAAAAATACGATAAAAATCATTATATTATAGAGAGTAAATACACCGCAAAATGACAAAGGCGTTTTAAAAAAAAAAAAAATTGTCGACCTCCGATAATATTATTAGTTTATTAATTAAACGAAATGCATTATTAATAAACGCGACTGCGACCCAGGTATCGTTTTTGTCGGCAGACGATAACATAGCGTTCTTATTTTATATTATACGAAATACGTAAAAAAAACCACCGTACATAATAGTGAAACGCGTACCTCCGGCAGGATACAGGGTGGTTATTTTATCGTGGACCTGCGAATAATATCCTACGACGATTTCGAGAAAATTCGATTTTGAATTTTTTTTTTTTACCAGACTTTTTCGATATTATAATAATATACTGTCAAAATTCGTTTAACAAATAATAAAATGTGAATATTAAATTATTGCGCCGCTACGAAAATTAGAGAAAAAAAAATGTCGCGTTCACCGTTGAATTCGAATCGGGCGAGAAAAATGCTGATAAACTGGATTCATTGTTGAGAATCGCCTTTGAAAACCGTAAATCGGAATCGTTACGAGACGCGAACGCTGTTTTCGCCACGTAAATCTATTTTAAATTTTAATAACATCGGGTCTCGTGGCAAATAAAAGTAATCGTGTCTCTCTCACCCTCTCTCTCTCTCTCTCTCTCTTGACGCGAAACGAGAATATTTTTTTTCTTTAAACGCAGCCGAAACGTTATGGATACCTATAAACGTACGAAACGCGAATTCGCCACGGAATTGCTATATTGTTATTTATCGCCGTGACTTCTTTTATCTGTCGGCGGTACGCAATCGTTTCGAAACCGCTGTGCTCGCCGCGCACGACACCGACCGTGTGTGACGGCAGACACCGCGTTCCGATTATATTATTACGGTAAGCAATGGCGTCGGATCACGGGATTCGCCGCCGATGATTTACGACGGGAGACCGTTTCGCATCGCGCCGCGCGGAGTAGCGATACGGCGGACGATGCGGATTTTCGGAGGCGGCCCGCCGGACCGCAGCGGGCATGCCGCGGGCATGCGGCGGAAATCGACGGCGCGGGGCGGTCGTGCCCGCGCCGCGGTACGACGTTAACACGAAGTCCGACGGTACGTCAACGTGCAACACCGCCGTCGCGCCCGCGCTGAACGGAAACGCAGGGCGGATTTCGATCCGTATCGGAGAAATGCCGCGCGCGCGCGCTCGCGTTGTTTTTTCGATTTTTACTTATTTCAATTAATTAATTTCCGTTGTGGAGAACCGGGACAATGAATGCTCGCGACAAACGCGCGCCGCCGTCGGCGTACGGCCGAGACCGCCGAGCCGTTAAACCCGCGGAACAATGCTCACCGCGGCCACCCCGCCCCCTTCCCTTGGCCGCCGCGCCGCCTTTTCCGACTCGTCGGAACCGAGACCGCGACATCCGACGCACCCGATACCGTCATCGCGACAAAATCGTTTCGTTTGTCTGCGCGCGCGCGCGCGCCTTTTGTCGCGCCCGGGCGTACGCCGTCCGTTCGCCGCGTACGCGGGGCCCGCCCGTACGCGCGCAGGGCGAACCTCTTGCCGCGAACCGGTGATCGTTTTCTGTGCGCCCGGCACGGCGACGCGGGCGGCTTCTTCGCGGAGTGCGACACGGGAACGCTGTCCCGCCCTTTCGCGCCCCCTCGGGATTTCCGGTCCGTCGGTACGTCGCCGGCGGTCGATTTCGGACAGTTACGCCGTATCCGCGGGACTGCCGAGTCGATTTCGTCGGATCCGCGGGACTGCCGAGTCGATTTCGTTGGATCCGCGTGCACGTTGGACCGACGCGGCGACGTGTGGCGACGAAACTCGCGTTACACACGGTCGCGACGATCGGCTAGAGTAATGTTTTATCCAAAAGCCGGAAATATTTCGCAATTCAGTTGTCGAACGACCCGCCCCGTCCGTTCCTCCGGTCCGGCCGTACGTATTCGTTTTTCTGCGCGATAGAAAAATATCGACGTGCGTACGCACGCCGGCCGCGGTGTTATTTCGGCACGGCGAACAGTTCGTTGCCGTTGTTGTTTCGCGCGATGCAAACGAACGGCCGGGGAAAACCGACCGCGACGAAATAATATTGGTTCCGGCTAATATCATGTGCAACGCGCATCCGTCAGAAAACGGAAATACGAAACAAACGAAACCCGATGCATGAAAACAAAATAATATTATCGTGTCAAAACGTAAATATAATAACGAAAAAAACGCACACACACACAACTGCAGTGATATTTGAAGACGCGAAAAAAAGGGACTATTCAAAATACCGCGGCGCGAGTTAAAATATATAAGTGCATTACGAACGATATACGTAATCGTATATTATTTAGGAGGAGAGAGAGAAAGATAATGTAATAGTGTAAGAAACACGGGTCGTTCGCAATAATAATCTGGTGGAAATAATTTTATTGCCGACAGAGTGCGTGTGTAAAGTTATGAAATAAACATAACTGATAAAAGAGACGGGTGTGCCGCTGTTGTGGGTGCGTGTTTGGCGACGTAAAATACGTAAAGTTATTGAATTTATATCTGCAAGCAACGAAAAACCGAATCGGAGCGCGGTTCGATTATACGTGTTTTGATAAGCCGTAGTATTTACGATTTTCGTCGACATTGATTTTGTGATGACATTAATTTGATATTAAAACTACTATAAAACAAAAAACAAAAAAAAGATACTACATTATCTCATAATGAAATTCCTGTTAAATTTTCGATCATTTCTGTTTATAGTCTAACAATTTCATTTACACACAGTACCTGCCGAATAAAAAGTATATGCATATCTCGTAAAATTAAAATATCTATAAAAAAAAACTCAAATATATTTAAAAATAAAACCGTTATTTTCGTAAATTATCTCGTTGTTTATACGTTATTTTCGATTTTGCCAGTTATTCAAATGACTACGGGAAAAATCAAAAAAATAATTCTCTTACTCACCGAAACTAGATTAAAAATTCCACAAAAATGGTCATTTGTTTGTCAACTGGAGCGATGTTTCTGGTGGAAAAAATAATTTCCAAAATTAAAAACAATGAAATTAGTAAATATTTGCGTCGTCAATAATTTCCGTTTTACCTATAATTTGATGGATAGAGGTTGTCGTATCTCTCCCCGATTCGCTTGAAAATATAACAATAATCAGTATTTATTTAGTAATTTTATCCTACGAATTATTACGTATTTCGGCCATGCAACAAGAAAAATAATGTTCTTAATTTTATTGAACGAAAATTAGCTTTTTTCGGATTCTGTGGTTTTTTTTAATTCGTATTCTGCCGGGTTAAGTGAAACGAAAGAATATTCTGCGATTTATACACGAAACCGTGAATCACTGCATCCGGGGGCATCACCTGAACGGCCTAGGGGCCGTACCCTCCCCCCACAAGTCCGTATTTCTAATAAACCGTATGTCGTTAAAAACAAGCCTTCAAAATTGAACGTATTACGCTCGTATCGTTGTAACAGCGCAGTTTTACTGACTCGTAGCAGCGCCTCTCGTACGCCGTTCCGCGTTTTGCTTAGTTAGGCACAATACAGGAGCGCGGAATACGAGCATATACCTACGCGTGTATAATAAATTATTCGATTCGGAACCGTAAGTCGAATCCCAACAACAACTTGGTCTTAATAATGTCGTCGCGTGTGTAACTCGTATAAGCGTAGCAATGTACCGTTATTATATACGTTTAACTCTAAATATCAATTACCACGCGGCACCCGCCTATACTCGTGCACCGTTTCACCGGACGGTTGCCGTGGACATTCTAGGAGTTCGGGGTTACTCGGGCCAAGCGCGTTTGTGTCATTATATTATTGTTGTTACTCGGAACGAATTAATTCGATCGTTGATGAACCGCGTTCAATTGAGTTGAGCGCGGAACGCAGGTCTTGAGTCGTTTCGGCCGGTGAAATAAAACCGAAAGACCTTTATTTGTATCGGTCCGAAAGGCCGGCCAGTGTGGCGAGTAACGCCGACCGACTGGTCCGACCAAGTGGATAGGACTGGGTATGAATGTCGACCGTCCGTTACGTTCCGTTTCCGAACCAACGAGGCGCGTTAAACTGTATCGACTTAGATGTGGATACCTGCCTACAAGCTAGCTAGCCAGCGATACGGGGTGTGTAGCTGGTATAGTTACCGACTACTGTTTACACGATGCAATATGAATAAACTTTAATAATAGAAAACATACCGCAGTGTGGTATTGTGTTTAAAATGTAAATTGTGCAGCTCTCGTTTCCGTACGGACCACGGGGATACTGGATAACTCGATGAAATAATAAGCATATCCTCTTGATGACAATTATTGTTATGATCCTGTTTGATAAATAACGTCGGGCCGTCGAGTCGTTGCGCGACGCCCGCCGTTCAGCGGCCTACAGGCTACGGTTGCCGTTCGTCTGCAGTGATACACGCATTTAATTAAAGACGGACAATCAGCATTACGACTCGTTAATGTGTATAATATAGTGGATGTTTCTGATCAAACGGATAGTATTGTTGATATTTTTACCAACACTTTTTAGTCGACATTTTTTTTTTTTTGTCATAAAGTTTTCTGAAAATTATGACTCAGCCCCTCCCCCCCAACCAAATCTCTGGAGCCGCCCCCTCACATTGGAAATCCCTGGCACGCCGCTGGCCGAGCGGCGAATTCGCCACTGATCACGCGAAGTTTCGTGAAATATTTATTTGCAAATACATTCTATAGCAACAACGCTATGACAGTCCGGCGATGCTATAATAATATACCTATAGACGTGATACAAACGGCGAAATATCTTAGTGTCGAATTTTCAAAGGGCTTCCAAATCATTAGATTTAATTAACGTGCGCCTTTAATAATATCTCGCGCTGTCCCGTGCATTCCCCGCGAGTTTATTGGGAGTATTCCAAGCACTGCTGCAGCAGTAACCGTAAGTACCTACCGCAGAAATTACAAATGCATACATAATAGAAACTGTTTAAGTACACCTAGGAATAAGCGAATCGTTCATCGGCCACGTCGCGTGTTTTTATATCGTTATTGTATAAAAAAAAAGAGAAAAAAAAGAAGTGTAAAACGATGAACGAGGCGAGTGTGGAATGGATATTTTATATATTACAGTCAAAAGATGTATTTATTATTATTATTATTATTATTATTATTAACGTTATTGACTGGGTTTTAAAATTGATTTTTTTTTTTTTTTTCTAACACGTATAAAATGTATGATACATCTTATCGGGCTAAACGTATACCAATTATCAGTGCAACGGTAATATTGTCCTGTTAATATAAGACGACTCCAAAAAAAAAAAAAAATGTATGTATAATATTTTTAATTATGTATGCCTTTTTAAACAATTTATTGAAACTTTTGTACAGTTATTGATTATATTGCTATAAATTAATGGATTTCTGTATTAGTATGCCTAGTCAAGTAAATTACTATAAAATTGAAAATATTTAGAATACGCAACAAACTTGCGAGACTAATAATATAATAGAAACAGTACCTCGCATAATTTAAACCGAGGCTTTTAACTAACCGAAAATATCGGTGTTGGGTCATTTTCGGAATTTTAGAGGAGCGACAAGACAATCGTCACCGCCGTAGACCCGATTAAAATATTTACTTGCTGCCGCTGCTACGAACCTCTTACATTTCAATCACTCGTAGATATTATATGAGTGTTTCGTGAAAAGTATTGCGCGAGTTTTAAAACAGTGTCACTATATCGCTGTTTCAAAATCAATAGTTTTTTTATGGGGATAAATTTTCGAAAGTATCGTAAATAAGACATTGAAAAGATTCTATATTAGATACCTATAATATGTATGGAAAAAAAAACAGAAATCGAATTTTTACAGGTTATCATCGATGGTACGTGATAAAAGAATCGTCCTGTATAATATTATAAATATAAATATTTTTTTTAAGAAAACAGCAACAGACATATGTCGTCGAAATACAACTATAATGTGGTACAAAAAAAAAAAAAAAAAACTATAATATCTCTCACGCGCCCCGAGTTCGTGACACGTATAAATTGATGTGACTTATGGGTTTTCGCGTTATATTATAGACAGGCACGCTAAACATATTCTATCATTTTTTTTTTTTCACCTTTACATTTTCGTTTTCCGTACAGTGGTACAACGCGTGTTACGTTCGCAAGTATACTACATTCTTCGGATTGACATCAACAATGTAAACTAAAAATTTCATCGACGTTTTACACGCGCCTTTTATATAAAAAGTGGATTTATCGTATACGCTAGGGTGAGAATCAAAAATTTTAAATGCGGAGACGAAGTAAATATCGTGATATCACAGGGGTTCGTATTACATTTTTGTTCGTTTATTATAATGCGCTTCTGTTGTTATTATTAGATACCCAAAATCTTTCATACAAATTCTCTACATAATAACTCGAAATCGGAACCTTATATGATTGTCACCCTTTGACACGTGAAAAATGAAAAATATAAATTTCGGTTTAATATATCATCTGCTGCGTGAATCATATCGCGTGCTTGTAAACTGTAATACTTATTGCGTATAATTGTCCTAAAGAATATGGACTTGTTCATTAAAATCCGAGAGAAAAAAAAAAGATTATTTAAATTAGGTTTAACGGAAAAATAGCATAAAATCGACGCTATTGTTCCCCTTCTAAATATACCAGAAGCCTCTCCCTATACCGGGACACAGAGCTTCATAAACTATAGTTCTGACAATAATAATGTGTACGTGAATATAGCCTCGGGTTAGGTTAGGTGACAGTATAATTTCAACTCGAAACAATCGAAAAGTTTACCTTTACACACGCGTTAAAAGACGAATTATACTGTCAAAAAATACACACATAAATAATTCAGATTTTTTTTTTTTTTGTTTAATTTTTTCCATACCGCCGAACAAATGGCCCGTTAAATATTGACAGTTTTCCCGCCTTTGTGCGCTCAGCAGTCTATTAATAGTATATTATATATTTTATTGAATCGATTAAAACTTGTGAAGTGTATAGATACAACTTCATATAATATTCCGTTTAATTTGTTTAGTCGGTTTGGCATTTTATTTGTCACCCGCCGTTTTATTAGAAAATAATGAAAACCATCAACTTTTCGCTAAGTGACATCTATATGGTGTCCAATATGGCCGCGGTTTTTACAATCGACCGTTCATATGTAAGTGTATCTATATCCATTGCAAACGGTGTATTTTGTATTTTTAATATTGAAAAACCTTATGAAAATACTATTTGCGTTGTAATAATTTCGTATTAAGTTTTGTTCTGCGCCCACCCGGAATCTCCGATATTATCGAGTAAGACTACTCGTTAAATAATCTTAGACCCGCGACCCGCTTTGTCTTTATTTGAGGCCTTTGAACAAATTTCAGCCACAACGTTTTTTTTTTTTTTTTTTACTCGATTTTAATCGAATTAGAACAACTTTAAAACGTTACCTCTACCGAAAAACGCGAAACGCATGATTTACGTCCAGTGCAATAAGTTAAATAATTAAATTGGCGAACAGGATTTTAACGAATGAAATTTGTAGGAAACCCAGAACTCTGACGCTCGTCTAGTTATCTCGCTGAGAATTCCGCCATCCCGAATACAACCAAACACCGACAAATTAGCTAAGGAAAAACAGCGACAAACTTTCCATCGCCCGAAAACAAATAATTTGTACATAAAAAGTTTGAAACTACACGTTGTAATAATAATAAATAAATAATTTGTAATTTTATATTTGACAAAACCTATTTAAACCGGAGTGTAGGAGGCGTAGCGCAAAGTCTAGAAATGTCACCGATTGGACTGAAAACCAACGGGGTGCCTTCTTCGGAGCCTTGCCGATCGTTTAGCGAACCTGACGGCAGAGCGAAATTCGGACCAACGAGCGTATACGTTAAGCAGCGTACTTAATAAATAATAATATATGTGTTTATTACGGACGCGCTGTAATTAGGTGGCCCGCTGCTCAAAAATATTTCATAATTATATTAATAAAATATTTATAATACTACGTATTATAACGGAGGACGGCCGTGGACGATAATCGACCGACCCCGAAAATTGCACGACAACCTGAACACCCAGCGACACAAATATTATTACGATTGCGGGAATAAACCCGGTTAACGAAACTATAAAACCATAACAAATCGTTATGATATCGTGGAAAAAATCATCAAATTATTATGGTTAAGTCGAATCATGAAAGATTTCCAAAAAAAAAAAAAAATATTTAATTTATATTGTCAAATTTTATCTAAAAAAATTACGGAGAAAAAAAAGAGAAAAATGTATTAAAACGCTCACGCGCGCATACTCGGGCTTAATATTTGATGGCTGTGTCGGTATTTCGGTCGTCGGTCGATTGTCCCCGCCGGTCGATTTACCCAGTCCCCGATAATAACTGATATTAAAATAAAGCGGTGGTTTCCCTACAAGGTATACGGGATATACGCCGCGTACTCTCGACATTCTGTTGAAAAATCACGGGTACACTGCGAAAACTCTCGATTAGTTGAAACGAAATTCGTCAATATGCCTCTAAAACCGTGTAGCGGTAAATGTTCACGCCACTTTTACTTTTGGTTAGTTGTTTTCGCCAAAACCGTAATAGTAATACGATTTCGCGTATTAGCTATTTCGGTAATTAATACCGATAAATTCGCGATGTACTTGTGCGAATTTCTTTACTAGAGCGTGGAGAGCGATCTATTATTAGTAAAACGTTTGGTTTTTTCCTCGTCTGTAAACAACTGTTATACCGAAAATCGCGCTCCAATCGAATAATTAAAAGATGTCTTTTTTCGTCGCGTTTTGGATCTACTCGGTTCGTTGAAGGGGCAATTTTTTTAATTTCGGAGTTTTTACAATGGTCGGGAATAACGTGCGAAACACGGAAAAGTATACGACGTTAATCATTTCGTTATTTTCGATTCTGGTTATTTTTATTGTGAATCGGTTAAAAATTATTATCGTAAAGAGCTCATAATTTCACGGAGCGATTATATTGAACTAATCTAGACGCACGGGTTTACTTTTCAAAATATTTTGGAAATTGTTGAGTTTTTTTTTGTTTTGAATTTGGAGTGTTTCGTTTCAATTACAATCGACATCTATTGCCGTAAAAAAACAGTCGCATAAATTATTAGCCCCGGAAAAGTTAAGAAAATACCCGATTGAAGACACGGGTTTTTATACAGTGTGTTATATGTGTGCACTCAACAAGTCGACAGTAACACCGCCGCATATAAGACAATTCACAAAAAGTGGAAAAAAAAAAAAAAATTGAAACGATAATTTCATATAAAAATACGCAAGATAAATACCGACGTCATTGCGTATAACGTAAATGTCGCCGTATTCGACGTGCTTGCAGGTTATTTTGAAACGAATTCGACGTTATCAATTATGCATTCGGAACGGAAACACGCCTATTTATATCCTGCACAACCCCGCGATAATTACAGTGACCCAATTCCGGCCTATAAATATTTATAGCAATTTAATTTTTTTAGAACCTAATTCGGACGTGCGTATCGGATGAACCGCCGTTGTATGCGTTCGCACGTATTATAATATGCGTATTAACAATTTGAAATTATCGAGAAATTTAATCGGCGTCGTATTATTATCGTGCGGAGGCCGTATAGTTACGATTTCCCCACGGACCACGCGCGCATTGTCCAATTTGTATACGGAATCAACTAGTACAACATTATAATACTGCAATTAGGTGTGCGTAGACAAAAATCACTCGGAATATATTACAGAATTTTTCGTTTTTTTTTTTTTTTTTTTTTGCATTCCGTTTGTTTAGTTTATTTTTCAACAACAGAGAAACCGTGGCTAGTTTCACACTGATAAATTCGCCGCAACAATAATACCGTATGCGTACCAGTTACAACGTAAATATTGTTGCGAAACTTTCGGCAATAATAATTATTCAATCGGTATCGTTTAGAATTCCCCGTTTCGCGTGTGCTCGCTTTCGCGTATTCCGGTGATATTAATAATCGAATCTATACAGGGCAGGGGCGAATTGACCCGGTCAGCAGACGGGATACCTGGGCAGACTGGGGTACTTCCCGTGTTTAGACACTGGGCCGGCATTACACGTTATTCTCTATGGGCTTGAAAAAAAATCGATTAATTATTATTCTTAAACATGTATAATAATACACAGCGTCGATTTTCCGGCGTGCTCAGTTCTCATCCCATGTGTGTGGATGCATCAATTCAGTTTCTGACTTTTTGGAATTTTCAAGCGCATTGAACTACTACGCATTTTCACATACTTAGATTTTTCATAACATTTAAAGCGTATCCTGCGACCGCACTAACTTTGGTTTTACAAATGGTATGCGGTTGACGTATTTTAATCGATATTTCATCGGAAAATGTCCGGAGTTATCTAATTCAAACGCTATAGAACAATGACTGTACGGTTCTCATATACAAGAAATTGTCAACACAAACGAAACGGTCGGCATCCGATGTTCATAAAAGACTATTATACTTAGTATTCGGTGGCCACGAGCGTTGTCAGCGGCGCACGTGTCAAACCGGGAACGAATATAATTTGCACGTACGCCTCGTCGGCCAACGCAAGAACGAAAAAACGCACCGGTTTTTAATGTTATAACAGGCGGATACGCGAAACGTGAAAACGGCCGAACGCTACTGTGTTGCCCGGTCCGGCCACCGCTGAATAAAAAACGCCGCGGCGTTTACCGCTGTAAAACCCCCCCGAGATCGGCGCCACTGTGCGTTAGACACGCTGAAATTCGTAATCAATGTTACAATATTATCGGCGAGCGGGAAACGGTTGACTCGAGTGAGTCGCGTATCGAATAAACGATGCGATACGTATGACGCCGATCACTGCGCACGGAGTATGTCCGTTAGGCGTTAACGCACGCCGTTCAATATTCATTAGCATCCCTACGCAACCGTCGGATAGTAAATAATATTCGTGTGATTGATACGAAATCGAATTCGGACGGATTGCGTAGAAATTATTCTTCACGCAATATTATATTACGCGTTACCCGGTAATAATTTATTTCGTTTCTTTCGTACAAACAATCTCACACCTACTGGGGGGGGAGGGGGGAAATAGAAACTAAATATCAAATAAGACGTTATGTGATTTTTTTTTTTTTTACATTTACTTTATCACTATCACTGTAGTGATCGTAATTATTTACACTTCAATTCATTATCTATTATTATCATTCGCTGTATAGCTCTCTTTGGCAAAAATGCGCCACGTCGATACGTGGCACGCTGTTGTAAATAGTAAGTCGGAACGGTACGGTGCATTAAGTAATTTACTTTATATCTGTACGCGACGAGTGACGAAAGAAATTTAAACGCCAAAATTTCTTTTTTTGAATCCGTTAAACACTTGTTTTAAATCTACGGAATATTTTACACATTCTGCAACGTTTAGAAATGTTCAATATAATATTTTATGAAAATTTCAAGCCACTACGGTTATTTTTCACCAAATTACAAATAGAAAATAATGAAACTGTTCCTTCTGCTAAACTATCCCGGCTTTTTTTCCGGTTTTATTAGGAGGACAACATGAAAAATCAAAAAGCATACCAAGCAAACAAAATTTTCTTTCGGAAAGTGTGCTGTACACTCGAATTTTGAAGCGAGTGAAAGGGTAGAAAGTGTTCTGTTAGTAAAACAATGTCAAAAATAATGAAAGTTTTATTGCCGTGAATTTTCGCGGTTTTCCTACACGTTGTTTTTTTTTTTCTTCGATTATTATGAAAACTTAGAAATTCAAAAAATGATCTCCGCCAGGACCATGATCCGAAATTTTTAATTGGACCGTTTCCCGGTATGAAAAGAGCTGTTAATGGACGGGAAAAAAAGCAAACATTCTGGTGCAAAACCGATAAATTCCTCACCGTGCTGAGAATCGAAAAACAAACTCTGATTACATAATATTTTTCCGAACCCTTTTTTTTTTTTTTTTTTTTTTTTTTTGTAACGTATAATATAATTCTGCGGGAAACACGTTCGGCGTCCGCGCCTCATATTGTGACGCACAATAACGATAATAATTAATTCAAGTAAGTAAATTATAGAACGTGCAATTCAACATTCACAATATGCTATAATATAGCTGGTACCTTCCAGCCACAGATTATACAACGGTTATTTAAACTGCAGTATACGATAAATAATATATATATAATTTTTTTTTTTTTTTAATTCATAAACAACGTGAAAAAAAGTTGTTCGCGCTGTATTATTATTAATTAACGCTATATGATACAATATTGTTATTAATTATGCGTTAAAAAAAAAAAGCGCACTATAAATAATATTCTTAAAGGTTTCTTTTTTTGGTTTAAGTTATACTTGCATTATATATATATAATTATAATATGATACATCTACGTGTAAAAAAAAAAAAGTAGCGAAAAATTCGTAATAAATTAACATTTAAATGTTTCTGAAATTAGAAAAATAATTATTATTTTTACGGAGGCGTTTGTTAATAATTTTTCGCACATTACTACGATAGAACGGAGTTTGTTTTTTTTTTTTTTTTTTTATCTCTAGATCTAAAGATTTCGTTCACCACCCCAAACGGTATTGCAATATTGGCACGCGACACGAATCAACGGATTATCGTTTTCGAAATTCGATAATTCTGTTCGGTTAGACGGAACTGACCAAGAACAAAGACCGGACGCCCTGCTATACAAAAACGGCCGACCGGACGAATTGTATGGCGGAAGAATCATGATTTAATTTAATGCCGGCATGTCGGTACATGCGACGATGTACTATAATTACGGTTTTCGTAATATACCTACCGTATTTAGGATTTTTTCGTTGCTGCGGTTGTGGTTGTTGTCGTAGTGTTTTCGCGGTAAATACCGTCGAAAAAGGCTACGAGCCCGGCCAAATCGGCAAACACGAAAACGGGACACATATAATTTATACGTTATTATACCTACTTATACATCAAAGCGAGACACTAAACGTTATTGATTAAACAGTGAAAAAACAAAAAAAAACTTTCTTTATTTTTAAACTTTTTTGTAGCGTGCATTGCTCTTGGCATTTCATTACCATTTTTTTTCCTACGTTAATTACAAAAGGGCTGTTTTAATTTATAGTTGTTTGATAATCAATTTTAAGTAGGTATAAAGTAGCGCAGGTACGTTTATAATAATATTATCACGCCTAGTAGACAAAACGAAACGAAATATTAACATATTGTCGTTTTTTAGATTCGAAGCGTAGCGAGGGGATCTTTTGATTTTACCGTGGTGTGTGTTTTTGTATTAATTTTTTTTTTTTCTTTTTTGCGTCTGTGAACATCTTTTCTACTAGAAATAACTGTTTGGTGTATCAAGTGTAACATCGTTTCTGAAACGAAATTTTCTTTAGTTACTGGTGCGCATTAACCAGGTCATTTTTTGATTTGCTGAGTGGTTTCCAAAATAATCGAGAGCCCGCAAAATATGACGAAAAATATAAACGAACAAATTCACAGCGGACGATTCTTTTATTTTTAACATTTACGGTTGGCATTTTCTACGAAAACCACATGAGATTTTTTTGTTTTTGAAATCAAATTTGAACGAAAATCGCAAAAACAAATTACGACACTTCAAATTATATACTACTGAACTGCGCTTGGAGTCGTCTTTCGTCAAGCAATGATTTATCGTTACTTACATATATAAATGAAATAACTTATGTATCCTAACTTCTCAACTTCTCACTTACAATAGCGGCCGCTCCCATCCCCAGCTCTTTTTTTTAATTATAATTCAGTTAAAATTATTCGTAATTAAAATTAAAATGTTGATAGAAATCTTATTTTTAGCTTTTCAAGATTTTTAAAACAACATTTGAGACATTTTTGAGCTCTTAAAAGACATTTTAATTTAGCGAGTTGTTTACATTATTTTTATCCAGTACTCTGTGGATACAATTGTTACTCCAGATATAAATGTTTGACGATTCAACAGGAGGTTCAGTAAAAAATTTATTTAGTGGTCAAAACAAAAAATGTATATTTAATGCAGTATTAGATTCTAAATAGAACGAAGAAGCTTATAATTTAACAATAATGTTTATTTTATTTTTTCTGTTTTTCTGTGGTCAATTTTTCAATTTTTCTACCATAATACCTGCTCTGATTTTTACGTGAAGCATTTTTTCTGAATAGAAATCAGAAATTTGACTGGAAAAGTACTGTAAGGAGGTCATTTTTCGATTTTATTAGGAGTTTTTTAATCAAATTTGAAAAACCAAAAAAAAAAAAACGAAGGAAAATATAAGAAATGTAGGTATTAGTTAAAATATAATATGATTTTTTTTATTCTGAGCACAACTTTTTATAATTATTTGTGGAACATGTAGAATCAATACCTAATAAATTATGTATATTGGTAGATGTGAAGCCAAAAGTGACTGTAATAGAATAAATAATATTCGCGCTGCACAGTACTAAAAAAATTTAGACTCCCGGCCAGTAGCGCACGTAGGATTTTTTTTTCAGGAACGGTTTTGTTTATGATGACTTCTTAAAGAGAAGATAGCACATTTTATCAGTACAGTACTGTCACTATATTATTACCGAATAAATTTCTTTTGATGCAATTCAATTGTATTTTATTCTGTAGTATAAGATAGCACGTTATTGTATTTAAAACTTAATTTTAAAAAAGGCAATGAAGAAAGAAATTTCGGGGGGGTTTTGATCCCTTCACTCCCACACTGTGTGTGCAATTGGACTCCCGGCGTCGCGCCGTATTGATGAATAGTATCGAAGCCCGCAATTTGGAATTGATTCGTCTTTCGCTTCTAATTGTACAGAATAATATTTCGTTGGCTGATAACAACGTTTTAGAACCGTAATCTCAGCAATGTAGGCCGTAATTATCAACAAATAACACTACGGATTACAATACAATTAATTAACGACTATACTTTACTACTAAATTAATTATTTTGTAATTTGTATTTAAAATTTTGATTCAGCGTTGTGAAAACAGTTACCTACCTAATCAAGAAGATGATAGACCATGCGTGTATAGCTCTCAATTACGAAATGTCGGTTACC